TAATTTCATGTTCATCATAATCACCATTCCATAATACAGTTACTACGATGTTGGTACTAGCCAAGTTTCTCACTGTTTGAGAGGAGACGATGATTCGAATTGATTTCAACCAGCAGGGAATTTATTCCTAACACAAATCTAAGACATACCAGATCAACGGTCACATTGGGTACAACTTAGGTCCACATTTCGAGGGTTCACTAAGGATCGCACAATCAGGGACAACCAATTGCCAGGACGTTTAGGCCTGGCCTGCCCTTGGGCTCATGTCTGGCTCCCCGCACATCCTTACAACCATCCAGAGTATGCACTTTTACATAACGGGGCCTGGCCTGAGTTGAACTACTTGGCTTAGCGGTCAAAATGAGTTATCCGACCAGCTTAGTGAGAGGCATGCGTTCAATCTTGTTAGAAGCGTCCAACAACGATACGGTCCTTAATCGGCACAGACAGATTCACATGAGTCAACCTACACATAGACTCCGCCCATCCTCCATTTACATTACCCCATGGTTCTTTTCCATGATAGCAAATATAGCCAACCATGCTTCGGTATCCACCTATATCTCACAGGTGACAGGAAATCAAGTGGTTTTAGTTCAACTCTTATCACCTAATGCATCAAACATAAAAGGACTCAAGTGAAGTTTTGTAAAACATAGGAGACTTAGAATACTCCGGGGCTTGCCTTTGAGGAAAGAGGTTGGCTTGTGATCTGGGTACTCAGGGAGGTCCTCAAGAGTTTGCTCCTCTCCTTCTAGAGCTACGGCCTGAGGTGTCACCTGTTGTTCCTCCTCTTCTTCTTCGTTAAACTCCAAAAGAGTTATCCTCTCGGACGATCCTATATGCATGATCATGGAATAAGATATCGGGGATGCATATATAACGACATGTATGATATGGTGGGGTATGATAAAATGCATTCTCATAGGTGATTTCAATAGCATTGTATTTAGGTGATAACAAGTTACATCTTATTTTACTGAGTTGGTGCATATCTCTTGTCTAGTAACTAAATAAATTCTCATCTAAGAAATTTTCTGGACTGCAAGACAACAGCCACTTGTTTTGACCATAACTGGAGTTATACACACCAAAATAATATGGTTCTGGACTTTCTGGAAAGCTTATAAAATTATCTACAACTTTATTTTAATCATATAATAGTGATTAAGTAGTTATCTAGATAAAACAATTCAATCTTTCAGATCTGTTCAGAGAGCAAGCATTTCTAACAGTTATAATTCTTAAACCATAAGGCCTATGACTATGACAATTTAACTCAAGGTAGATAAGTAAGTTATCTACAACTTTATTATTAACAAGTTTCACAGAAAAGATCATTATCATCATAAAATTATTACCACAACAGAAACTACACATGCAACCATCTAAGTGAATTATAAAACAATAATTAGCTAGTTGTCTATAACCAATCATTCCTAAGCCTATCTAATAATATCAACAGGCTATATGCATCACAAACACCATAGAAAATACCATGGTTAAGCCCAACTAATTTATTTATTTTCATTTATTAATTTCTTTATATATCAAGGTGATTTAAAGGATAAATATTTCCAATACTCAATAAATTCTAAGAAAATCACAGTAGCCTACATTTAACCCTAATAGTCTACTGTATAAATTTCATGCCATTTGAATAAGTATAGCAGTCTCTACTAAAATAACAAAGTTATATAGGCTTATTTTAGCAAAAATAATTTAGCCTAATGAAAAGTGTCAAGAAACAAATTTAATATTTTTTACTTTCCTCGTAGCACAAGAATATTGTGTAAAAATTGCATAATCATATGTTATGTATTCTTACCCTAAATAATTTTAATAAAACTAGCAATTAATTAAGATTAAATAGGAAGACCATATTTCAAGTGTACTTACTATAGGTTTAATATTTTTTCTAGCTAGAGCATGTCAACACAAGACCAACAAAACTAGAATCATAATTTTATCACCTTTCTAGCTCAAGTTATGCAATTTACAAGATATAAACATATTTAGAAGCATTTATCTTGCTCAATTTAATTCTACCATAAAAATACCCTAAATAGTAGATTTCATATTTTTATCAAATAGTAAACTTCATGATGAATCTAACAAAATTTGGTTCACCTCATTTGGACACTCCTAGCTCCAGATATGAATTTTTGAAGTTTGTATTCAAATATATGAAAATAATTCAAAAACAACTAAGCCCTAAATGCTAGGTGCACCCGGCGTATACACCATAGAGGCGCTGACGACTGGGCCCGTGGGTCAACTTACCCCACATGATAGTGAGACAGAGGCAGGGGCCAGCTTTGATCGGTGAGAACTCACCGACGGTGAGGTCACCGGTGACGAGGTCGGACCAACGTGTTCTCCATCCTATTCCGCACCTATAGGTACCCTAGGTTTGCTCGGAGGATCATCGAGCTAGCTTGCCGGCGAGCATGGCGGCTTGGTGGTAGTGCGCGGTGGTGCTCCGACCATCCCCAGTGATGCATGGCTAGGCGAGCGTGGCTACGGCATCTACAAACCCTAGCGAAGCTCTACAGCGTGGATTAGGTCATGGTGGAGCGACGATGAAGCTTGGCCGCGTGCATGGTGGCACGGCGGCGTGAGCACGGTGGTGCACAGTGGCGTTCGGCATCGGTGTGTTGGCGTTGGCTCAATGGCTATTGGCGTGACTTAACCCTAGACTATCCCTAACAAGCGAACGTGTGAGCGAGATGGCTCGGTGGAGCACGGCCACAGCGAGCTCAAGCTCAGCGGCGCTCCGGTGAGGGTGCGGCGATGGCGGACTTGCCCTTAGGCATTTACCTTGGATTAGGCTTAAGGCGATGGGTGGTCGGCGAGGTGGAGGGGGAAATGGACGAGCGGTGTGCGTGAGCTATCGGGGAATGGTGCTGCGATAGTGGCGCGCGAGCTCGGCGGCAATGGCGCGGTGCGCAGCGGCTTTGCTCTGGTGCGGCGAGAGAGAGGCGAAGCGAGGCAGAGGAGCGTGAATGAGGGCGAGCGAGGGAGGGCAGCAGCATCACACGACTTTGTTGCCCGCGTCGGCCTGACCGGTGGGGCCAGCGTCGGCGTACGACCACCATGCGGCGCGCACGGCCTACGCCGATCGGCCACGACGTGCGCGCATGGCACCTATTCAGACACCGTTGAACCCGACTGACAGCACGACTTTGTGACTCTATAACTCCTAATCCTTGGCATATTTTTGAAAACTTCCTTAATCAAATTTGTAGAGCTAAGTGAGTACTACAAAAATGCTTAAAGGAGTTTGGCCTAATTCCCAATGGTTTTCAAACTACAAAGCTCTAAAGTAGAGTACTTTGAAACTGTAGTCAGCACATGACTTGGCAAAATTTCTAAGTTTCAAAACAACATTTTGTTGATTTTTGTGAGCCCTATTTGACTAAGTTAGACATTGATTCAGGTCATGACCCTTAAATAAAGTTTGTTACCCTTGATGTGAACTACAACTTTTATTTAGATTACATAGCCATGCAAACACTCTAAGCTACTGTCACCTTTGGTCAAACTAGCATCATGAAAATGACATTTCAAAGTACACTAACACTTGGAAGCAAAATTGGTCCATGTCATGAATACAAAAATTGTTCCATTCACCATTCTAGATGTGTCTAAGGTATATTGGTGCCCTTACAACCATTTCATACATTGGTCATACATGATTGCAACCATAAGCATATATATAAAATTAACATTTCATGTGATAAGGTATAAGAATGATTTGAAATTCCATATGCTCATGTTCATGAATGCTTGGATGATGCTTGTGCTCATGAAATGCAGGTGCCAAATGCAAAGCTTAACACTGGGGTGTTACAGCCCCTCTCCCTTATAGGAATCTCGTCCCGAGATTTGAAAGACCTACCATTCCCCATAAATGGTGGGATAAACCTCACGTAAATAATCCTCCTATTCCCACGTGGTGTCTTGTTCACTGTGGTTATTCCACACCACCTTGTAGAACTTAATGACCTTGCTTCTTGTTGCTCTTTCCATTTCTTTTAGCACTTGGATTGGTTTCTCTTCACAAGTTAAATCCGATTGGAGCTTAATGTTGGTGGGTGCAATGGCTTCCTCAGGTATGCGAAGACATCTTTTCAACTAAGAAACATGAAAGACATCAAATATCGCACTCATCTCAGGAGGAAGTTGTAACTTGTAGACAACCTCTCACTTTCGTTCAATAATCTAGTATGGACCTACATACCTAGGCGTAAGCTTCCTTTTTACTCCAAATCTCTGCACTCCCTTCATGGGTGACACTTTTAACACTATTACAAAACAAGGATATTGTAACATATCCATTGATGTGTTCCAACGAAATTTCATAGTAACACAAAAGTATGTGTTACAAATATGGATTGTAACACAAATGACTTGTTTTACAAAAAATGTGTTACTAACAACAATTATAGTAACACAAAATTAATGTTACAAGTAAAGTGTTACAATAGTGGTACTATATTGTAACACATTAATGGAACACATGAAATGTGTGACAAATATGCACCCTATAGTAACACAAAATAATGTTATCATTGAAGTGTTACAAAGAAATATATACATGTGAACATCCAATTCCTAAGCTACAAGGACGTCTCATTGTGTGTGGAGTGTCTTTGTAGCTTATAGGCCACACATCGTGGTCCTCACATGACACTAGAGTAGGAACAGGTAGGCAATTAAGAAGGTCGTAATTGAGCAGAACCAATGTTCTAAAATGTCTAAATTAAAAAAAAGGAATTTCAGTGTCTAAGAACCAACTTGTTAGTCTAAGAACAATAGTTGAGGCAATTTCAAAAAAAAATGCCTTCACAAAAGAATGAGGTGATTTGGAGACCCCTTCAGTGTGTTTTTTAGGTGATATCAAGAATACTATGAACCATCATGTAGACCATTTACATATAGCATATGAATTCATAGAGTTCGAGACTAAATAAGTATCCATGTATGTTCTTCAACTACACGACCATGCATCCATCATACTTGAGCTCTGGAACAAGGTGACAAAATATTAATCTGCAATGATAGAAACAAAGGACTATTGTAAGAATGTTGCTATACTATAATTGGAAAAATAATAATAAAGCATCTAAAACTAAGACAATTTCAATTTATGTTGTGCCATAATTACTATAAATAACTATGTCAATGTAGCTGCAAGTACTGAGTAAAAGTGAACAGGAGTGGACATGAAGTGGATTCAAGCGGATTCTTTTCATCTCTTAACATGGGAAAAATATATTGGGTAGCTTAAAATATCAAATAATGTTCAAGTAAACAGCCATATGTCCATTATCTTGTTCTAAGTACTTCCCTATGACCTAGCAATATAACCACAACAATGATAAGTCAATGATTAAGAGAAGAAGCCTTTGCAAAAATATTATTAATATTAGCTTACAATATTTAGAGAAGAATTAAAATCTCACTTCTTAAATCTACGTATATACAGAGAGCTAGATGTATCTTTCATCTTTTCCCAAAGACAACTTTCAAAACTATTATTATGCCTAAACAAAGATTCACAACGCCCTAGCTCTAAGAATGGGCTGAGGTCCAAACCAAAACCACACCAAACCATGTCCACCATGCTATGCTATTTAATCCATACCAATCCATTCATCCACTCGATGTAAAACCAACCCATCCCTAGCTGTAACACATGCCCCCTACACCAAATTAAACCAATGTCTCACCTGTGGGTTGAGCCCATTAAAGTCCATTTGCCAAACCATGGGTTTAATTCACTTCTAATATTAAGCCAAGAGACAGTCTCGGTGCATCAATGTTGGCAACCAGTCGAGCACCACCTGCCAAAGTAATGTTGGCAGGTGTATGTGTATCTAAACCAGTCAAAACAATGTATATCGATTTGTTTACCGCATTGATGAATTTGTGATGTGTCCATACTGCCATACTGCCATGGCTATCTGGTGTGGGTATGGCACCCATCCAAGCTCCATACGGGGAAACAAATGATCTGTGTTTGTGGTGACGGTGCAGCCCACCAACCTGCATAAAAAACAAGATAACTAATTTAACTAGTATATTACCCGTGCTAATGCTATGGTGACATCTAGGATAACACACATTAAATAGTAATTCATGGAATTTCATGACTGCTGCTGCCATGGTTAGAACAGCGACCCAACTATTTGTTTACTGAAGGTGAACTCAATGTGTACCGAAGAATCAATGAACAACAATGTACAGAACTGCACCTTAACCTAAAAAAATATGTACAGAACAACAATCGGTGCTAATATGGATTGTACTCAATGGCCTATCTTAAAAAACGAATTCAGCATTATATAAATGCCTTTCTAAACAAAAAAAAAACAATGAAACTCATGGTCTGTTTCCACTGTTAAGCTATTTCGTTCCACTGATAAGCTGCAACATACTACATCTCCGATGAACTGAACATGAAAAAAAATCATAGATCATGTGTTGTTGCACTGATAGTAATTTTTGCCAATGCCAATTAACATATAAAAAGTAAAAAGTTAAAAACATTTTGAATTTCTCACATTCATAAGATCCATCGTCTCATCTTGCATGTTCTGTAGATAACAGAAGCTAGGGTATATGGTTAGACAAATAAATTTAAACAAATAAAGTTACGAAGTATGATCCCCTGGATCACATTTGTATGATCCCTGCTGCGGTGCCCCTTTCAAAAATTGGCTAAAAGGAATGGCTCACCATAATTTTGTTCTTTTCCAGTTCTGAGTCCCTTTCTTCCTCTCGCTTCTTTTGGATCTCCTGTGCAGTCCTATGATCCTCCGTCTGTGTTAAGTAGATGTCTTTCAAATTTTCTAAATGAAATATAACTAACATTTTGGTGAACCCTATTTTTTTTGTTTCACCAAACAACAAAGAATTAAAAAACACTAAATCTAGCTAACTGATGTTTTTTTCCAACCATAGGTCACAACTAAAAAACAGCAAATCTAATAAAAGATGGTATTTTTTCGAACGAACAAAACCAAGCCATCACATGGCCAAGAACTGCACCTTTGAGACCCCCATTCCTCGGCACATAAAGGCACCAAATTCCTCACATGGAGATGCACCTTTGAGACCCCCAAAACAATGTGAATGACGAAATAAAACTCCTTCGTGCAATGCTTGCTGCACCATCAAGTTCATCAGTTTCAGGACCACCAAGGTCAACAAAGGTAATTCTGCTAGTTCTTGAATTGCTAAACCCATTTGATGAACCCTGTAATATCAATTGAAGAAAGCAAATCCAAAAGATAATTCAGCACCCTGCAGAAGAACTCAACAAATGCAGCACAAATTCCACGTTCCTTACCTACATCTCAACTTCAAAATATCCTAATCTTAGTCAACTGAAAGAAGAAGAAAAAATAACCATAAAAGAAAAAGTAAATCACTATCTGTAGGATGTCAGATTAGGCTCTGTTAAGAGCATCCCAAATTCCCATCTGGGAACAGCGCACTCACCGATCTATATATCAAATCCATCCTCTAGTCACCTATTCTTCTCCGGAAACAGAGAGCCATAAAAAAACAAACGCAAATAGAAGGCTTGATCTCGATCCCGATAAAAACAAACCACATACTACAGCTGCTATAACTTCGTTTCCTAGCATAAACCCCATGTTAAAACTTGCGGCTTTGATTTCGGCCGCAACGTGCAAATCTTGCTCACCCTATTTCGATCTGTTTCACTTAAGACCATGGAGATTAGCGGTTTTACCTGCAGGAGGGACCATGGATTCAACAGGCGGTGGGAAGGCAACTTGGTGCTTCATTGCAGCAGCCGCCCACCAAGGAGCACTACAGATGGAGCTTGAGAGTTGAGACAAGGGATGAACTACGTCCTGACCCGTTTGGATCGGTGGCTCATCGGAGGGGAGCTACGAGGGTACAGATGGATTTAGAATTTTAGATTGCGTGGGTGCCGTGGGAAGGAGGACGAGAGTGATTTGGCGCGTGGGTGTTGCGGGAAACTTGCCACGATTTAGATTGCGTGGGTGCCGTGGGAAGGAGGACGAGAGGGATTTGGCCCGTGGGTGTTGCGGGGAAACTTGGCGTGTGGGTGTCGCGGGAAACCCATGGATGATTTGGCGCGCCGAAGACGCGGTTCGCGCGGGCAACGTGAATGGGATGGGGGAAACTTGAAGGAGCGCACAAGGGAGCACACTCGAGTCTCGAGACACAGGACCCATCCAGAGCGTGAAACCTCTTTGCGTGAAGACACATTCCAAAATTGAATTCTCCAAAATCATGAAAAATCCTCTGCAAATATATTACCACCCAATATCGTTAAAATAAGATTTAGTTATTTTATATAATAAATATCTCACTATATATCTCGATATAGCCAAAACTATTCATTACAAAGATTAATTTATATATTTTATTACTCCAAAAAAGTTCTATTTTTATTTAGCTCAACATTTTTTGTTTCAATAATTTTTATTTTATATTTTAATTAGTTTTGATATTTTTGTCTTAAAATTGGTCAAAATTTTATGATCCGAGTCATGTTAAAATTGTACATTGCTCATATTATATTACACAATTCAGAAGTCCTAATAAAACACGTAGCTAGCATGTATATATATTAAGCATGTAAAGTGGCCACATAAAGTTTTGTATGTAAACACGTGTAGAGTTTCATGTACGTTGGACGCGTTCTTGGCACGTACACATTTTAGTATGTTTTGGGCATGTTCGTACGGTAGGGTGTTACTTGCATAAAAACAGGTAGTTTATATATGGTAGCTAAATTATGCCATATCGAAAGTTACCAAAATAAAAAGATTTAGCATATTCAATAGATCTTGTATGCATTAATTAGATCTAAAAAATATCTTTATATCTAAAATTTCCTTATTTCTTTATTTTTCCAAAATTAAAAATTAATTAAATATTTATTTCACCTATTACCTCATAGAAAGTAATAGATGATTCTAACTATCCCATCAAATTAAATGAATAACTCACCGTCATTTGCAGGTACCATAACAAAGCTCTTCTTTGATACCCAGTTCCAAACAAGCTTAACGAGACAAGCTAAAATTATATTTCATTCAAAAGAACTAATTTGGAACTTGAAAAGAAAAAGTTCAATCGGATCAGTTTTAAAATGAATCATTGAACTAGCTCAACAAGCTTTTTATCTAGCCCTAATAGACGTCAATGCTCACAACACATGTGCACACTCAAGACTTTGGTAAGAGTTGTTTAGTCTAATTTTTAGTTGGGTTACGTTTTGGGTTATGTTTCGACCGAGTTTGCTCTATGTAGGATACCTGAGCAAAGTAGTTGTATGGATATCTTAGGGTATGATTGGTTTCTTTGTATATGGTCTGAAGCTTGACTGACATATAGGTACTAATTATTCGTTCAATTATTACAGGTAGTTCAAACCGAGCTAAACGAGTCGAGCCGAAGTTGAAGTCATTCAAAATCATGTCATTTTCATTTTAAAACAAAAATGAGGTTAATCAGACGTCACTTTGCAGCGTGTTACCGACATTCCACCCCATCATCCCAACCACTCTAGTGTCGTTTGGAGCTCTGCTTGTGGGTTTCCTTCTTCCTCCGTACGGCGGTGGAGCTGGCGCCACGTGGGTCTCCTTTGGCTGTCAAGCCCTCGCAGGTAGCGCTTGGTCCTAGAAGGATAGGGAATCAATGTTACCTTCGCCGGGGGCATTCTTGAGGTTGCCGCACTGGTATCCACAGCCGAGGGTCCACATTACGCGACAGGGCACATCAGCGAAGGAACCAACCCTTCAAGACTTAGTAAAGGGTCCTTGCTCTTGCCCAAAAATTCAAGCACCTTAAATAGGAACTCCCTTATTGTTTACTTTTAAGTTGAATGCCAAGTATCAAGAAACTATTTTTATTAATATTTGTCTTATTAATAAAAATAAAAAGTAATATAATTGGCCACATTAAATTGATGTGATTAGTTATACAAAAATAAATTTCATTTATGTATTAATGTTAATATTAAAATTAATATTAGTCATTGCTTTAAAATAGACTAAATTGGTACATATTATTAATATTATCACAAAACCGATATACGTAGTCATTACTCATAAAGTAACTTTTAGATAGCGAAATCTAGTAGTATATATTTTTTAGATATTTTATTTGAAAACTATGTGTTTTTTAGATATATAAGGATTTGTATGGGATGTCCATCAATTTTTTTACTACTGATACTGAATCGGATATGTAAAATAATGGAAAATTGATTCAGATGAATCTATTAAATGAATTTATTTTTCTTAAAATTGTGCTAGAATGTGTAGACACTCTTGGATTTAACTTGCATATTTTCGTAGGCCAAACTAATTTGATCTGTACGTTTTTTTATTTTTTTTATATGTACGTGTTTCAACTTCGTGCACGGATAAGCACCAGAAATCCAGAATCAAGAGGCGTGGAAGCTTAGCTTTCCTCCTAAAATATTGACTAAAAATATTTCCCACTAAATTTTCCCTCTCACGAATCCATCTACCGCCCTAACAGTTGCCACTCTCGGTCATATCCAATCTCCTTGGCTGGTTCGTCTCTGGTCGCAGCATTATCTTCACCATAGGAGGCCAGGCTCATCACGTTGTGAGCATCGACGGCAGCGGCATCCACGGCCTCGTCCCCGTCACCATTGTTCTCCCGGCTTGTTCAGGCCAAGATGCAGGTACGTGCTCCCTAAAGTGTGATGGATCTATCACAATTTTATTACATTTCTAGCTCAAGTTATGCAATTTACAAGATATAAACACATTTAGAAGCACTTATCTTGCTCAATTTAATTCTACCATAAAAATACCCAAAGCAGTAGATTTCATATTTTTATCAAATAGTAAACTTCAGGATGAATCTAACAAAATTTGGTTCACCTCATTTGGACACTCCTAGCTCCATATATGAATTTTTGATGTTTGTATTCAAATCTATGAAAATAATTCAAAAACAACTAAGCCCTAAATGCTAGATGCACCTGGCGTATACACCACAGAGGCGCTGACGACTGGGCCCCGCGGGTCAATTGACCCCACACGATAGTGAGACAGAGGCAAGAGTTGGCTTTGATCGGCGAGAACTCACCGACGGCGAGGTCACTGGCGACGAGGTCGGCACCAGCGTGTTCTCCATCCTATTCCGCACCTACAGGTACCCTAGGTTTGTTCAGAGGATCACCAGAGCTAGCTTGCTAGCGAGCATGGTGGCTCGGCGGTAGTGCGCGGTGGTGCTCTGGCCATCCCCGGCGACGACATGGCCAGGCGAACACGGCTATGGCATCTACAAACCCTAGCGAAGCTCTACAACGTGGATTAGCTCATGGTGGAGCGGCGGTGAAGCTTGGCCGCATGCATGGTGGCATGGCGGCACGAGCACGGTGGTGCGCAATGGCGTTTCGACGCCGATGTGCTGGCCTTGGCTCAACGGCCATCGATGTGACTTAACCCTAACCCTAGACTATCCCTAAGAAGCGAACACATGAGTGAGATGGCTCGGTGGAGCACGGCCACAGCGAGCGCAAGCTCAGTGGCGCTCCGGCGAGGGTGTGGCGACGGCAAACTTGCCCTTAGGCGTTTACCTTGGCTCGGGCTTAAGGCGATGGGTGGTCGGCGAGGTGGAGGGGGAAATGACCGAGCGGTGCACGTGAGCTATCGAGGAATGGTGCTGCGACGGTGGCGCACGAGCTCGGCGGAGATGGCGCGGTGCGCGACAGCTTTGCTCTGGCGTGGCGAGAGAGAGGCGAAGCAAGGCAGAGGAGTGTGAATGTGGGCGAGCGAGGGAGGGCAGCGGTGTCACGCGGCTTTGTTGCCCGCGTCGTCCTGACCGGTGGGGCCGGCGTCGGCGTATGGCCACCACGTGGCCCGCACAGCCTGCGCCAGTCGGCCACAACGTGCGCACGTGGCGCCTATTCAGACGCCGTTGAACCCGACTAACAGCGCGACTTTGTGACTCCATAACTCCTAATCCGTGGCGAATTTTGAAAACTTCCTTAATCAAATTTGTAGAGCTAAGTGAGTACTACAAAAATGCTTAAAGGAGTTTGGCCTAATTCCCAATGGTTTTCAAACTACAAAGCTCTAAAGTAGAGTACTTTGAAACTATAGTGAGCACATGACTTGGCAAAAATTTCTAAGTTTCAAAACAACATTTTGTTGATTTTTATGAGCCCTATTTGACTAAGTTCGACATTGATTCAGCTTATGACCCTTAAATAAAGTTTGTTACCCTTGATGTGAACTACAACTTTTATTTAGGTTACACAGCCATGCAAACACTCTAAGCTACTGTCACCTTTGGTCAAACTAGCATCATGAAAATGACATTTCAAAGTACACCAACACTTGAAAGCAAAATTGGTCCATGTCATGAATACAAAAGTTGTTCCATTCACCATTCTAGATGTGTCTAAGGTATATTGGTACCCTTACAACCATTTCATACATTGGTCATACATGATTGCAAGCATAAGCATATATATAAAATCAACATTTTATGTTATAAGGTATAAGAATGAGATGAAATTTCATATGCTCATGTTCATGAATGCTTGGATGATGCTTGTACTCATGAAATGCAGGTGCCAAATGCAAAGCTTAACACCAGGGTGTTACAACCCCTCCCCCTTATAGGAATCTCGTCCCGAGATTTGAAAGACCTACCATTCCTCATAAATGGCGGGATAAACCTCACGTAAATAGTAGGATAAACCTCACGGTCCCACGTGGTGTCTTGTTCACTGTGGTTATTCCACACCACCTTGTAGAACTTAATGACCTTGCTCCGTGTTACTCTTTCCATTTCTTTTAGCACTCGGATTGGTTTCTCTTCATAAGTTAAATCAGATTGGAGTTTAAGGTTGGTGGGTGCAATGGCATCCTTAGGTATGCGAAGACATCTTTTCAACTAAGAAACATGGAAGACATCGAATATCGCACTCATCTCAGGAGGAAGTTGTAACTTGTAGGCAACCTCTCCGTTCGATTCAATTATCTAGTATGGGCCTATATACCTAGGCGCAAGCTTCCTTTTTACTCCAAATCTCTACACTTCCTTCATGGGTGACACTTTTAAGTACACATAGTCTCCCACTTCAAAAGTAAGTGGTCTTCTTCTTTTATTAGCATAACACTTTTGTCTAGACTGAGCTGCTTTTCATATGCTGTTGGATAATGTGTACCTGCTCTTCAGCATCGGCAACAAAGTCAATGCCATAATATCTTCTTTCTCTAGGCTCAATCCAATTCAAGGGAGTTCTACATTTCTGACCATACAAGGCCTCAAAAGGAGCCATCTTGATGCTCGCTTGATAACTGTTGTTGTAGGAGAACGCGGCTAAAGGTAGCCATTTCTCCCATGAACCCTTGGAAGATATTATACAAGCTGTCAACATGTCTTCTAAGATTTGATTCACTCACTCGGTTTATCCAAAAGTTTGTGGGTGATATGCTGAACTTTTGATTAGTTTAGTTCCCAAGGCTCAGTGCAAGTGTTCCCAAAAATGAGCTATAAAATGTGGTCCTCGATCTGAGATTATGGTCCTTGGTACTCCATGTAGCCTCACGATCTAGGAAACATACAGTTCGGCGTACTTTCCATCTAGATATGTTGTGTTAACTGGTATAGAATGTGCTGACTTGGTAAGGCGATCTACAATGACCCATATAGAATCATGATCTTGCTGTGTCATCAGAAGGTCTGTAATAAAGTCCATACTTATTTCTTCCCATTTCTAGCCTAGGATAGGCAGCGATTGAAGTAATTCAACAGATTTCAAATGAGTGGCCTTGACTCTACTGTAATTATTACACCTAGCGACATAGGCGGTGATTTCCTTCTTCATCTTGGTCCACCAAAAATAGCTCTTCAATTCTTGATATATTTTGCTACTACCTAGATGGATAGATAACTTGGATGAATGAGCTTCATCTAAAATTTGATTTCTAAGCTCACGGTCCTTTGGTACTACCAGTCGGTCCTCAAACCATAGCACACCTCTTTGATCCAACCTAAAATGTTTGGTTTCCTATTCTTTCATCCTTCTCTTAATGTGAAATATACCTACATCCGTCTTCTGTAGTTCTATGATTTTGCTCTCAAGTGAGCAACTGACAGTGATATTGTGTAGCACAACAGGATGTAGCAAATTAAATCCATCTTCCAACAAGGCTTCTAAGGTGTTACAATGAGATTTCCGACTAAGTGCATCCACTATAACATTGGCTTTTCCTAGATGGTAGTGCACTTCCAAATTATAGTCCTTGATCAACTCTAACCATCTTCGCTGCCTCATGTTCAACTCAGGTTGAGTGAAGATATATTTGAGACTTTTGTGGTCAGTATATATGTGACATACATTTCCCAACAAGTAATGTCTTTATATCTTCAATGCATGAACAACTGTTGTGAGCTCTAAATCATGTGTAGAATAGTTGACTTCATGCTTTCTCAACTATCGAGAAACATAGGCAATAACTCGACCTTCTTGTATGAGCACACACCCCAAACCGGTACCCGATGCATCACAGAACACATCAAAAGGCTTTTCAATGTGGGTTGTACTAAAACAAGAGCTGTAGTTAGCAATGTCCGTAGGGTGTGAAAAGCGGCTTCACACTCTGGCGTCCAACTAAACTTTTCATCCTTCTAAAATAGTTTGGTCATGGGCTTAGCTATCTTGGAGAAATCCAGAATGAAACGACGATAGTAGCCTGCTAGCCCTAGA